CATTGGCCTTGTTGGGTCCCAGCCTCCCCCACATGGCTCCTCATGAGAACCACCCGAGTGAGGGTCCTCCGTGCCCCTCCCCCAACACTGCAGGCCATTGTTTTCTGCGCGCGCAATATCGCTTCTTCTTCTCCTCCTCCTCCACCCCCGCCAATCTGCTTCTCTGAGGCAGCGAGCCTTAGCAACAAGGCTTACCTCACCCCACACCAATCAGCGACGAGAATCACCCGTTTCTCCCCCCCCCCGCCCGTTCCAGAGCTTTCTTCGTAGCTTCGCCCACCTCGCTCTGTGAACCAATCAATGACCAGTATCTCTGCTTCTGCACCAATCAACGCCGACAACTGGCATAACCCCGCCTACCGTCCTCCCACAGTCTACGAAGCTTCCAGAGCTGTCTGGTAGCTTTCTCACCGTACCCGAGATCCCTCCGCGCATTAGAGATTTCGATTATTCGGAGGGAGAGCTGTGGATTTCTCACAGGGAGGAACGGACATACCCTGAGACTTCAGAAAAGGATCTGTGAGGGGGAAGGGACTGTATCCGCCTTTGGTGCAGGGCCACTGATTGGGACTATTTTCTGCAGCGCACTGACACTATGTGTGCGTGAATGGGTGAGGCGTTCAGCGTCAGCAGTCTTATAAATAGTAGCGATTGAGGCGCGAGCAGCGCAGTTTACCGCCACAATCGGGTTGTGTTGTCGTCTGTCTGAGTGGTATCGGTGTTGACAGGTGAATTTTACGGACTTCCACAGAAGTGTCCAAGCCGTGGGAGGTTAACGGTAAGAAGCGACACAGGGCTCTATGAAGGGGAAACTGAGGAGGCCCCTCGCTAGGGACAATGGGGGAGGGACATGGGGGCGATTAGTGTAGGGAACGCACAGAGCCGCTTAGTGGGGTTGTGGGCACAGCCTCTGTGTGTCTGAGCGTGTTGTGCGGGGAGGGGACCCGGTCTAAGATGGCGGAGGCTGCGCGCCGCCATTGCGTTGCCTTCCCGGAAGTGAAGAGTGCTGTGTCACTGGCGGTCATTGTGACTGGCGAGGGAAGCGGGGCGGTCCCAAGCCCCGGTAACCCGCGTGTGTCGCTCAGAAGGGTCACGGAGAGCGGGATGAGGGCGACCTGCTGGGGGTGGGGTGGGGCGGGCGAGTGAGCGGGCGGGTCGCCCGGGTAGGTAAAGGTGCCGAAGAGCGGGTGGGAAGGGGGCACAGCGTTCCCTCCCTAGAGGACGGGAGCGCTGGGAACGCCGCGAAGGGCAAGGGCTGTGTTCCCGGCTGTTGGGGAAAGCATTTGAGAACGGGTTTGAACCTGATAACGTCCGACTTCTCCTCTGCTGGACAGGAGACAGGCATTTTCTTAAGCCAGAAACAGAGGGGGTAGTGGGTGTCCAGGGAACCTGTCATGGAAATGTCTCACTAAAAAAGTCCTCTATTTAAATATAGAGGGCGGGGAAGAGTTTTTGATACTGATTATTTACTGATTTTATGTGGTTGGGTTCAGTTTTCATACTGAAATGTTGGTGTGAAGCTTTGGGGTCTGTATATAGGGTTCTTTGTGCTCTGTAGCAAGTTAATCAGTATAGGAAGTTGGAACTCTTTTTGATACCTCTTTCTCTACAGTTCAACATGCAGATCTTTGTGAAGACCCTGACTGGCAAGACCATCACCCTAGAGGTTGAGCCCAGTGACACTATTGAGAATGTCAAGGCTAAGATCCAGGACAAAGAAGGCATCCCACCTGACCAGCAGAGGCTGATCTTTGCTGGCAAGCAGCTGGAAGATGGCCGCACCCTGTCTGACTACAACATCCAGAAGGAGTCCACCCTCCACCTTGTGCTGCGTCTGAGAGGTGGTATGCAGATCTTTGTGAAGACCCTGACTGGCAAGACCATCACCCTAGAGGTTGAGCCCAGTGACACTATTGAGAATGTCAAGGCTAAGATCCAGGACAAAGAAGGCATCCCACCTGACCAGCAGAGGCTGATCTTTGCTGGCAAGCAGCTGGAAGATGGCCGCACCCTATCTGACTACAACATCCAGAAGGAGTCCACGCTCCACCTTGTGTTGCGTCTGAGGGGTGGCTGTTAGTTATTGTGGACCTTGCTTTACATGATTGCCAATAGCATTTGTTTTTGCACTGTAGCTCTTTAATGTCTTAATATTGTAAGTTAAATACAAGTTGCAGTAACTGCTGAACAGTCTGTGAATGCTAATAAAGATTTTTGTTGCACATTACCTGGTGGTCTTTGGGTAAAATGTTCTATAGTTTCAGTTAGCAATCTTCATACCATAATAAAACTTGTTTCATGGAGGGGTGTGTGGAGGCTCAGCTACTAATTTCTGATGTTGAGTTTACTTTCAACAGATCAGAATTGTGTAAAGTAAGGTTGGAACACTCATCTAGACTATTCTTCCCTTGTTACAGAATTTCCACTGGTATGTTTAAGGATGTTATTTACTATAACCCCTTTCCAATCTCTTGAGCAGAGTCTGGTTCCTCTGTTTGGGTATAAACAATTGAATTAATGCTTTGTGTTCTTATGCAATTCTTAGTAGCAGAAGCTGCTTTTCCCCTGGATTATGCTCACTTCAATAATGTAGCTTACACTAATTTTTTTAAGGAAAAAGCCAAGTGCAAGTCTTGCTGTTTGACATTTGAATTGTTTACTTAATGGGAACAGAAGGGACTAGGAGAACTGAACATATTCTCAGTTCTTTGCTGTTTCTTGCTTTCCTTCTGTAGGTTGCATCAACAATACTGAATTAAGAGAATGCTTCACTGGATTTTTACAGTTTACCAATAAATCAAATGAAGGTGATCAGACCACA